CAACTGCTGAACCTGTGCTCTAGAGCCCGTGAGCTACAACTGCTGAGCCTGCATACTGCAACTACAGAAGCCCACACGCCTAGAGCCCGTACTCCACAACAAGAGAAACCACCGCAACGAGAAGCCCACGCACTGCAGCTAGAGAAAGCCCACGCGCAGCAACAAAGACCCAACGGAGCTATAAATAAATAAACTAACTAACTAACTAACTAAATTAATAAACAAAAGGAACACTCACCCCCACCCCCAACTCCGGTCAACTGGGTACATTTCTAGGGCGGGGCCGAGCAGACGTATGCCAGCTGAGAGGTGGCACAGCCGCTGTGACACTGTCAGACTGCAGGCAGGACACCCCGTCCCGTGAACGGGGACACGAGTGTGCCCGGCCCGCCTCACCTCGACACCACCCCCAGCTGATGCCTGGACACACCATTCGCACAACAATTCACTGAACTTGTAGGGTTTCAGAAAACATTAAAATGAAATCATTTCAAATGATGAAAACCGTGTCACACATACAGAAATACCTTTCTGCCAACACGGAAGCGTGCTTGGGGTTTTTCTGAAAGGGATTCATGCCAAGCCTGTAACACACAGAGAGACAGAGGATTACTGAAGAGAGGGCGATGCACGGAAGAAGGGAGGGAAGGCCAAGGACACACGGAGGAGGCCAAGCCCCCGAGCCCACGGAGCCGGCGCGGGGCGCGTACAGAGGCTTGATGGGGGGGCTCCTCTTGCCCGCAGTCATCTTCATCAGGTCAAAGTGGCTCGTGTACAGCTGGGTGTGCGTGGCGTTCTCGTCCTGAGCGTACATCTGGCCCGTGCGCAGAGGGCGGTTGTTCTTACTCTGAAACAGGATGGGGGTGGCACAGCAGGGTCAGACGCCGACCCTGCGAACGGGGTCCCTGACTGGGAGGTCTAATGTGAAATCCCCGGCTTAAACAATGAGTCCCTTCCTCCCACCCTTCTCTCTGAGACTCAACACAGATGGAACAGCAACGACATAGTGGCCGTCGTCCACCGACCGCAAACACACTCCCCAGCCTGGGCTATGCCTTCCCGCCCATCCCGCCTCCAGCTCGGCAGACAGCAGTGAGGCCAAGTGGCCGGGCTGACACAGCCAGCGGCCCGCAGCCAGCGCGCCTTCACCCTGGTCGGCCCCGGGGCACCAAGCGGCGGCTGTCCCCCAGTTTGGAGACAACTGTCTTTAGAAAAATGAAAACCGAGATTCGTTAAAGAGTGCTTATAGAAACAAAATAAGTAATTTCCGTGAATTAGAAACCCGGGAGCAAACTTCATCAAAGCCCAGGATGTCTGCCGCTGCCACGCATGCCCTGGCCCGTCCTAGGCGGGAGACGCGGTCATCGCTCCCACTCTATGACTGGGCACCGGCCACAGGTACACGCCAGCCCGACGCCGCGTGCTGAAGCTTTCTGCATGGAGGCCACAGACACCCTCCTGAGGACAGGCGAGGAGCTGAGAGGCAGCAAGGCGGGGACAGAGCAGACGGAGAAATGGAAAGAGACAAATGCAGCTCAAGCGACACGAGAAAAGGCAGCGCCCTGGAGACCTCCTCAGCAGCCACGTGGACTCGAGGGGCCTGGCTGCCCCACAGGTGGCCTCCTGATGACAGACACCACGTACTCGGCTGTTCTGCACTGAGAGTCTCTAATGCCCGCGGCTGGGACCAGGGTGTCTAGCGCCTGTCAAGCCACTGCAGTGGCCAAGGCCCCGGGAAAGCACAGCGATGCACGAAGTAGGAGGCACCGACAGGCCCTCCTTCGATGAAGCTAACAGCACAGAGCCGTGCCCGTCTACACGCCCAACCCGGAAGGGAGGACGAAGCGCTAGGACGGCGCCAGGCCACAGAGAGACAGCACGCGGAATCTTGCAAATGACGCAGCAGCGCGGACGCTCTCTGTCGGGCAAGATCTCGGCGCAGGGACTCCGGCCGGCAGGAACGGGGACTGGGACTGTGTCTGCCCCAGCTCAGGGCCGCGCCCAGCACCCCGCGCCCCTCCCTCCCCATCGCCGCGCCGCGTGCCCCGCAGGAAGGGGGGGCCTCACCTTCCCCTCCTCCCTCGGGATGAGCACGTTCTCGTAGCGGTTCCGGCACTGCTTGGAGGAGCGGTAGATGCGGCTGCAGGAGTTGACGACGTCGCTGACGAGGTCCCAGTTGGGCGTGTGGGCCGGGGACACGACGGTGAGGTTGAGCGGCAGCTCGAGCAGCTGCTTCACGGCCTGGAGGACCAAGGTCAGGCGCCGCGGTCAGCGGCTTCCCCGGCCTCCAGGGGGCCCTGAGGACGCGGCCGGCCCGGGCCGAGGCCCAGGACCCACCTGCAGCAGCGCCCAGTCCTCGCTGATGAGCCACTCCGGGCTGTCGGGACCAGACTCGGCGGCCGGCTTGGCGAAGGCGGGCAGAGGCTTGGCGAACTGCGCCTGCTGCTTCAGGAGGATGTTCTTCCTCTGCTCCTTCCCCTCTCGGCGGGCCTTCAACATGGCGGGCGCGGCGCGGTCAAACAGCGACCGCGGGGGCACCACGGCCTCCCCGTGGCGCTGCTTCTTCTTCCTGCCGGCGGCTGCACGGAGAGGCTGCTTCAGCCAGCGGTCGGCGGGGAGGTGGGGCAGCAGGGCCGCGGAGCTGGGTTACCGAGGCCGCCGGGAGTGCCAGACCCGCTCCCGCCGCAGGAACCCACCTGACGGGTCCGTCTTGTGTCTCCGGCGCTCCTTCCTCACGTACACGGGCGGCAGCTTGGACTCCGGGATGGGCGTGGTTTCGTACATGAGACACATGACCGAGTCGATGTAGATGTCGTTGTCGTCCTGGGGGGGCGTGGGCGGCGTCCAAAGCTGCGTGCGGAAGGGAGAGCCCTGAGCCGTGCGGCCCCAGGAGCAGCCGCCCGACGGGGCAGGAGGCGGGAGGCGAGGCCCGGGACACGGGGAGGCGGGCACTCACCGGCATGACCTCCGTCTGCCCGTCGGCGCCCTCGTACACGAACTCCTACAGGAGAAGGGGAGCTTTTCAGGTCCACCCAGCCCTGGCTTCAAGCTGCAGCCACCAAGCATCTACCTTCACGCCGGTCAAGTCTTGGAAACAAGCTCGGAGCGTGGCTGTCGAGAAGCCCTGCGGTGCATCTGCACCCCGGCCGGCGGGCAGCGCGGCAGGGAACGCCCGCGCGGGTAAGGGGAGCCCTCGGGCACACGTACCGCGCGGCAGGCGTCCTCCCGGGTGTAGGTGAGCAGCTGCTGCTCAGGCTCACGCCGTGCCCGGGCCTCACGCTCCCGCAGTGCCCGCGCGTGCCGGGCCTCCCACTCGCCCACGGCGGCCAGCACGGCGCCCTGGAGAGACAGCAGTCGTTCCCATTGCCGCCCGCGCCCCCCAGCCCTGCCCCACCCCTGTGCTCCCGGCCCGGGCCCTTCTCTTTGTTCCCAATACATGACCCTCTTTCGAACCCCAAGCTGCTTCAGAACCGAGGAAAACTGCACCTGCAGGTTCCTGAGGCTTCTCCCTTCCAATCAGTTTGTACACGGGTGGGTCTGGGTTTATTCCTTTAATTCTAGGCAAGTCACACTTAGTTCCAACCCAGTTTAACCCTGAAGAATTTGAGATTCTCACATGTTAAGAAGGTCAGAAGTTCATTCTCTTACCTCACTATTTCTCTCCTTTTCTTGATCAGTGGAAGTATGGAATAATTCCAGGTAATTCAAAGCATATTTTTCAATTGGTGTGAGCTGTTTCAAGATGTATTTTTTGAATACGGTTAACAGCCAGTTCACAAGGACTCAGTTCCTCTTACAACCCCCCCCCCC